TACGTGAATAATAATTTCGTCATTTCGTACTATTAAAAGCTATATGCTCGGTTAAATTAAATAAATTCGTTTAATTTTTTTACTTATCACATCCCAAGTCAATTTACGTCTTCCCCTAACATTTCCTTTTACGGTGATCTTATCACATTCTTCTCTACCATTTCATCTGCTACTCTACATTGCACATACCAAACCATCTTAGTTTGTTCTCTCTGAACATATTTTCAATTGGTACTACTCCTACCATTTAATGTATATTCATATCTATTTCTCTCTGTTCAAAACTTACCAAACACCCATCTAAGCATCCTCATCTTAACTACACTCATTTCATGAGTTTGTTGTTTCTTAATTGTCCAATATTATTGAGAGGGTAATTTGTAAACAAATTGGGTCGAGCTAGGAAGAGTCTTCTTTGGGAGTTGGACCGCGTAATGGGCCGAGATAAAGGCTGGTGTAGCTCGGTCTTAGGCCAAGAAGACATCTCATATTTTGGGTTTGGGTCGAACTATGGACCGAAGTATTGGTAGAAAGAGGACCGAGCTAAACAATAGCTCTACAGGGCGTCATCTCGAAGTCAAGACTGATAGTAATGCTTAAAGTATCACAGAGCCGAAGTAACTTGGCTGACCGCAATATTAGTCGAGGTAAAGATGTTAGCCGAAATAAGTGGGCCTGGTGGTTAGCCGAGGTATTGGTGAGGACGCCGGTCTTGGTATAGCTCGGCTGCCGGTCTTGGTATAACTCGGTCGGGCGCCATCTACATCATTACTTAAGCGTGTGACCAAGGTAACTTAGCTCGGTGTGGTTACAGCAGCTTATTAAAAGGAGGTAGCATCAATGGCGATGGCTGAGCTGTGTATAGCTCGGCAGGATAGCATCCGTTAGATCGGCTTTCGATCATACGGTCCGAAGGGCAGGGGACCGAGATAAATCAGTTCGAGCAAGAATGTATAACCGAGGTAAAAGGTTCAGCCATCTCACTTGGCTTGCAGTGATGAGACTCCTAGTAGGACTCTGCTAAGGAGAGTTAGAGTCCTACTGGGATTGTGTAAACCATCTCACTTGGTTGGTAGTGAGTAGGGTGTGCGATTCCTAGGAGGAATCTCATAGGGAGAGTTGGAATTCTACTAGGATTGTGTCAAGTAAAGTCCATAAAAGCTCATGACCAGACCTATGTACAGGTATCCCAATTCTTGCTCAAGAATACACAGAGCTTATTGTCTATTGTCTAGTTGCTGACTTAGGCATCGGAGGGGTTTCCGGCACACACCCGCCGGTTAGCTCACGTTTGTGTTTTCAGGTGGCAAAGCAACATTGTTTGGAGGAGGCAAACTTGATCAACGGGATCATACGAGAAAGTTTATTTCTTTCCCGTACAATTATGTGAACTGCAAAGTATCATTGGTCTTACAATTGTTTTATAAATTAACAACGTCAATTTTGTTAGCATCATTGATCACATAATATGCCAAAGGCACTCCACTTGAACCGACTTTGATTCAATTACAGGTGAGAATTTGTAACACAACATGAATCGTACACGAAATTAGGGGTTAGGGTTGAACATTTTCAACACAAACACAAATATGACACTATATAATAACATGATAAATAAATAGGGTTATGTCAAACCTGCATAATATGAAATTGACACAGATAACCCATTTAATAGATAATTAGTTACAAATTTTAATGTTATTTTCATTAAAGAATGCCATAAATGTTTAAATCTCTTATGTAACCTACACAATTAAATAAAGAAAATACATAAAATAGTATTTTCAGGTTAATATAGTCATTTTGTCTTTTATTTGAGAGAATATGATCTTTTCATTTATTATTTTGAAGTCAATAAAAATATTTTTTTTGAATAAAATAGAGTCAAAATTAAATTTTTGTTTTTTAATAATTTCATTTAGTAGAGATTAGTTTCAGGAAATTTAACTTAGGAAAAAACGTTAATCTTTCCATACACTTAGTATTTTTAATTGAAATTCATATTATGAAATTCATATTTGTCATTTTTTTTAAAGATAAAATTGACTTTAACCCCCTTTGCTTTACTCCATGTGTGATTTACCTCTTATATTTGAAAATAAGAACATAACCCCCTTATGACCTAGCACATGTTTCACACTTGATGTTAACTTGGATTGAACGTGTGACAGTATACTTCATTCAGTCCACAAACCACAAGAACATTATAGTTATTTCCAAATTATGTAGGTAGTTTGCACATGCACATTGAAGTGACATTTACCCTTTATTAAATATGCACAATATCTTGAATTGAATAAATACACCTAAAGGGTAAAATAGTATAGTGAAATAAATCAGGTAACAAATACCATTTCTCATCTAGTATAATAGACGGCAGATTCAAGTATATAACCCTACCTTCATATTACCAAGTGAAATACTGAATAAAGGTGTGTATATATATCTAGTACTATTATAAAGAGAAGTCGTGTTTGGGTGTTTATGTCTTATATTTTGGGTTTTCTATTAGATAATTAGATAATTTTCTCGGTTTTGTACGATAATTTCGCAAACTGAGAAATTGTTAGTTTTGTATAACTAAAAAAATAATATTTTATTTTTATTAAATTTTATATTCAATATTGGTCATGTTTGATAAATCTCATTGTGTGGACTCAAAAAATATATATTTTATTAAAAATAATTGTGTATAATAAAAATTATGAAATTTGTAAGTTTTGAAAAAAAAAAAAGAAAAAAAAGAGTAAAATTCCACTTCAGCAATACTATTTGAATAAGAGAAAATATCTAGTACTTTTGAGGCATGGTTAGGTGATTTTCAAAATATTTATGATTGATGGGGAGGGTGGGGCCTACAATTTTGTATTAGGGCATAAGGTATAATGCTTGGTGATTAGTGGATAACATTGTCATGTGGTGCAGTTGTAACACCTAATAATTTTCTACTAACACTCAAGGAATTGACACAATTCCTTTTTTTTTTAATAAAGGTAAAACAGTTTTACATAAATAAATATTTTGAAAATAAGATTTTATGGGTTAACAAAAAAGAAAGAGAACTTAATGGAACATGAACATTACTAATAGGACTTTTAAGTAATTAACCCAATTAATAGGACTTCTTCCTTAAAATTTAAGAAAGACAAAAAGAAAATTTGATATTGAAGATTAAATTCAAAAACAAAAAATTAATAGAGCAGCAATATATATTGACAAAATTTGTATAAATTTTTTGATGCGGATCTTTCCCCTAAAAAAAATGTAAGTGATTTTCATTTGTAATAAAAGGTAAATTGAATCCCTAGTCGTGCAGTTTGCTTCTTGTCTCAAATCAATTTGATTCTTGAAGCTCTAATTGCATCAACTTTTATCCTTTAATTTTACACAATGCATGAATTAAGTTCAACGGATAATATCTATTAAGATATTAGACCAAAATCAAAGGCAAAATAATTCATTCAAAATGGAATATATCACTCACACTAATCCCTTAATTACTTTGAGAATAATAAATTGACTATTTTAGTCTTGATTTTAATCCAATTTCTAAACACTGAATAAAGGTGAAATACTGAATAAAATTGACTTTAAGAGAACATGATTTTTTTTTAAAATTGACTTTATGAGAACATGATTTTTTTTTTTTTCCAAAACTATCAAATTTTGAATTTTTCAGATTCATTTCAATTTTTAGATTTTGAATTCAATCATATAGTTTACAGTCTTATTTTCTGAAACAAAATGATCATATATATGTAAGCATGTGGACCTCGAATTGAAATTGCCAGTCCACCTTAATTCTCAATTCATGAATTTCATAATATGAATTTCAATTCTCAATTCTCAATTATATGAATTTCATAATATGACATTAACATTTCTCAATTATATGAATTTCAATTCGCATAATTTTATTCTTAATTAAAAAAAAATTCCTTTTATTTATAAGCAAAAAATAAAATTTCTAATTCAACAAATATAGGTTGGTTTATTCACAATTCAAAATTTCAAACCCTAATTTCAAAAAATATAGAATAATTTCAACAAATTGAAAACCCTAAGTTAACCACAAGCATAATTTAACCACAAGAAAAATTTCAACAAATTGAAAATCCTAATTTCAACAAATTGAAAACCCTAATTTGGAATTCCTGTATAACACAATAATTACCAATTCAAAACCCTAATTACCAATTCAAACCCTAATTACAAACCCTAATTTCTGTATAATCCTAATTCCAAACCGTAATTACTAATTCAAAATCACACATTCACAATTTCTGCATAACACAACAAATACATCAGATTCAAATGAGACAGAGAGAGATAGATGCCATACCAAGGAGAGAGAGAGAGCAGAGACAGAGAATGAGAGCATGGAGAGAGTCTGAGAGCAGAGCGAGAGTGAGAATCTGAGAGTAGAGGGAGAGCTCGAGCAAACAGAGGGGAAAGCGAGAGCGAGAGTCTGAGAGGGAGGAGAAAAAAACGCAAGTGAAAAAACGTGATTGCAAATGAGGGTGCTTGGGGTTTTATATAAATTGTAAAAGTGTGGTTTCAATCCACGCTTTCATTAATCAACAATGAAAGCGTGATTGTAAATCACGTTTTCTTAAGAAAATGAATATGCGCAGTGAAAGTGTGATTTTTCAGAAAACAAATTAAACGACATGCACAATGAAAACGTGGTTTTCAGAAAAAAAAAATTTATGTTAAAAGCGTAGTTTGCAACTACGCTTTCTTAATTAAAAGCGTGGTTTCTAATAGCGCTTTCACTATTCATCAAATTTTCGGTCCCAAATAGTAAAAGTGTTATTTGTAATAGTATTTTATCCTAATTTAAAAATTCTGTCCAAAATAAACCTAATTTGAGAATTAAGATAATAAATTGACATAATATGGAAAAAGCCTCTTCCAAACGAGCTCTAACAACTGTCATCCCCTGAAATTTGGAATTTGTCCTGCACACACCACTGAGAGAAAGAGAGTGACAGACTCATCCTCTTTGGTTCCAACAGTCATTTATGTCCATACAAATTGCATTACCTCACCAAGTGAAAATGCCTCCTCACCCCCTACAATCTCCCATCCACTGTTTCCATGGCGCCCGCCTCTGCGATTCCTCAGAATTTTCCTTTCTCTCTTCCCAATCACAACCGTTCAAGATCCTTCTTCCAAGACGGTCCCAATTCTGCAAAAAAACCCACTAGAATCCATCCAAAAATACGTACAGTTGCTTTCAATGGCGTCCAAATCAAACACACCCAGCGAAACTTCCTCGAACCTTCACTACCCATTAGAGTTCTGGTACCTCACTCCATGTTTTTGCAAGTGGGTCCTCGTAAAACTCACTCTGCTCCCAGAATCCAGGCCAAATCAATGGGTTCAGACAGTAGTTCTGCTTCTACAAGCCTTCAAAGTGTGAGCAGCAATTTTCTCACATCTTTGCTTAATATTGAATTGTTGTTTGGATGGCTTGTTTTAATGGGTTTTTTTGTGTACCTATTAGGTGTCTGGTATATTGCATTTGATTGTCTCGCTTGGGATTATACTCACAATGGATAAGGTCTTGAAAAAGGCGTTTATGGCAGCTGCAATTAAATTCCCAAGTGCTCTTTTTGGGATGTTTTGTGTGTTCACCATTCTTATGGTTCTTGATTCTACTGTCCCCGCTGCTGCAACCAGTTTGATGAACTTTTTCGAGCCTGCGCTTTTGTTTATCCAGAGGTGGCTTCCATTGTTCTATGTTCCTTCATTGGTAGTATTGCCTCTTGCTGTTAAAGATATCCCTGCTGCTTCTGGGATTAAGATCTGTTTCATCTTAGGTATGTGAGCTTTGGATACTTCATTGCATGGAGCATTTTGACATTTAATTTTCTTGTTGTGGGAAGTGAAACTTCTGGTCTATTATTTAGCAGTGAAGTCCAATGCTTTGTACCCATTATGTTTTCTTGCTACGGTGTTTATGGTGAATTATCGTGGTCAGTCATGAATAATGATATTTATCCAAGTGAATGCTTAAAATTGCTATGACTTGTACTTTTAGATATTGTCTAGTACTTTTTTGAGCATTTCTACATAACTAATATTGTCCTTCAGAAATTAAATTTGGTTTGGAGACTCTTACACCCCTGAAACATCACTTTCAAAGATACATCTGATTTAGCTGCCAAGGATTCCAAAATTGTTTCTTTAAGAAACAACACCATGACTTTACCCAATTCAATTTGTGCAATTTGATGATTCTGCTTATGGAAATCATAATGTGAGTATTCACATGGTTGGTGCTAGTTGATTTAGATTCTTGTTTGTGTTTCGTGTCTCACCCATCCTGGTTAGGTTTATCAATTTTTAACATAAACTTTCTACTATCTTGTTAATCTCCCTGTGGACATGTATGTGTAAGCCAGTTTCTTTATGTAACAGTGTGTTACTGTACTGGCTTTTTGCAGTTGGAGGCTGGCTGGCTTCACTTTCTGTTGCTGGTTATACAGCTATAGCCGTGAGAAAAATGGTAAAAACAGAAATGATACCTGCTGAGCCTATGTCAAAACCTTCTCCTTTTTCTCCCTTAGAGGTGTGGATCTGGAGTGGGACTTTCATTGTATCATTTGTTGCTGCACTTTTTTACCCAACAGTACTTGGAACAAACGCTAGAACATGCCTGCCTTTCCTACTTGCATCCACTGTGCTGGGCTATATGGTTGGTTCTCGGTAAAATACACTTTCTCTGTTTGTTTTATTTTTAAGTCGTATCTTATGATATATATTTGGTTTCTTGTTTCGAAGTTTCATCATTTCATTTAATTTTGGCCTTCAGGTTGCCAGCTGGTGTGAAAAAGGTTTTCCATCCAATTATTTGCTGTGCACTATCTGCAGATCTAGCAGCTTTTGCATTTGGTTATCTTTCTCATTCTGGAATTGATCCTGTTCTAGGTACACAAGTTCCGGGTTTCCTTATGTTAGATACACTTACTTTTGGTTGCGAAAAGGCAGTGGAACGGGTTAAACATGGAATCTTGTAATAGCTTTTCCAAACTCTAAGACTAGTCCATCATCTTCTTGTTGGCAACCAAACGGAGTAATTGCTAGTTAGAATATTATAATCTATTTTAACTTTCACAGGACATTACCTCACAAAGGCCTCATCTAATCCTGGAGCTGGTGACATTCTAATGGGATTTTTGGGATCTGTTATTATCTCCTTTTCCTTTTCAATGTTCAAACAGAGAAAGGTAACCTATTATCCTGCACATTTAACGAGTAAGTAGGCAGAATTATTCTCTTTTTTTTTTTCTTTGTCTATTTTTGTTCATGCTGTATTCCATTTCAGCTTGTTAAGAGGCATGCCGCTGAAATTTTTACGTCAGTCATCATTGCAACAATATTCTCATTGTATTCTACTGCTCTCATTGGACGCCTGGTTGGGTTAGAACCATCTTTAACCATTTCAATTCTACCCCGATGTATAACTGTGGCGCTAGCCCTCAGCATTGTGTCTTTTTTCGAAGGTACAATAAAGAAACTAAATTTATATTAATTTGCCTTTGTAAGATCATGTTTTGTTTATCAAATAATTTCATAATGAATTGATTTTAATAGGATTTTTTCTTTTTTTCTCAAATTGGTTTTAGGTGCCAACTCATCTCTCACAGCTGCTGCTGTTGTATTAACTGGTCTGGTTGGAGCAAACTTTGTGCAAGCAATGCTTGATAAACTTCGCTTTGACGATCCAATTGCTCGAGGAATTGCAACTGCATCTAGGTATGTACTTTTTTTTCCTTGGATAATAAGTGACTATTAAACTGTATATTCTGAACAAATGCAACAGATCGCTGTTTGGGATTCAACAATCACACAATGTAAACTCAAAATCAGCTGACCTTGTAACAGACTTCTAAATGGTGGTTGCTGAAAGATGATTTAGGAACAAAATTTTACATATTAATGATTATCCTTAATTTATTTGAAGTTTGCAAGAAAGTGAAACGACACGTTAGATATTATCTGGTAAACCAGATAGGGAAAGTCAGGATTTTGCAAGTAGACCTTGTGTAAAATTTTGAGATTAGTTTAGTGACATCAGAGTTCATTTTTCATGAATTACAAAAATTAGAAGAAAAAAAAAATTATGTGCATGGTGGTGAAGTAACGCCAAAAAATTATGTTTATCGTGCCATTAATATTTTCTTGACACTTGCTCTTTGTCTAATTGTTTCAGTGCTCATGGACTGGGAACAGCGGCATTGTCAGCAAAGGAACCCGTGGCTCTTCCATTTTGTGCCATTGCTTATGCTCTCACCGGTATATTTGGCTCCCTCTTTTGCTCAGTTCCGGCTGTCAGACAAAGCTTGCTCGCGATAGTTGGTTAGAATAATCAACACCTCAAACAGTATTTTGTTTTGGTTATTGGTAATTGTAATTATTTTCTTTGATTAGAGTTCCTACCATTGTACAAAATTGGTTTTAGACAAATTTTGAGAGAAAAATAACACCTTATTGATTGACTAATATAATTATTCTAGATTTATGATGTATGCAAGTTGAAACAAGAAAAGTTGTTGAGCAGCCCAGAACAGGTTATGTCAAGTCTACATGTTTTCCTCCAACTACTAGGTTTTCAACCCTTGCAGACGGCTGCAAACCACCTCTAAACGGGGCGTATTTGTATAATTTTTATAGTTGAAGAGTCAATATATGCAGATTCATAAATGAAAAATGTAAAATAATATTCACTAATAATTGAAAGAATCTAGTGTAACTAATCCAATTTTTAATCCAAACCATCCTGTTAATCTTTCGTATGAGAACTATTCAATCCTATCCTCGAACAATTAGTCTTCTCTTCTGATTATCTCAACATCTAATGCTAAAAAATTATCTTTTAAATTTTATCACATTATTTATTTTATTCTACCGAATAATCTTATATATATAATCATAATCATACTATTAGAAAGTGTGAACCTAAAATATTAGTTATTATCTTAAACAGAAGACTAGGAAGATTAATGGGTGTAATACAACCTAAAATTACTTGACTTTAACAATTTTTTTAACTTGATTTAGGGTTGGATTAATAATGATATAGAAATAGAAGAAACATCCAAACAGTCTATGTAGCATATTTGTATTATTTATTTTTAAATAAAAACTCATCAAAATAAATTATTATTTTAAAAAAATATTATTACCATATCATTTTTTATATATAATTTTTATTAAAAAACAATTGGTGGGGACACCGTGTATTGTGACTATGGTTAATTTCAAGAAAATTAAAGTGAGATTTGGCAATTGTTTTATTAATTATTTTAAAAATCTTTATATGTTTAATAATTGATAAAAATATATATATTTTTTATGTTTTCTAATTTCCTTTTTAGCTCAAAACAAGCAGGCTTTTAAACAATTTTTGTAGTCATGCCAAACAGCTCCTAAAACCCATATTGGAGTGAGTGGTATACACGTACATGAAGTGAGCGTGAGCTCGAAAGTTCGTTGCTCCACCATGAGAGAGTGCTTTGAGATTTGAGCACCTCAGCCAACACATCCAACGCTTCAACAAGAATTCACAGAGAGAGAGAGAGAGAGAGAGAGCCCTGCTCTCAAGTCTCAATTGCATAGTTTGCATGTAAGTTTCTATCTCAATTAGCTCTGAAATACCTTCTTTATCTTTCGAATTTCACTGTTTGATCTTTCTGCTTAATGGGTACCCTTTATATCTGCTTAATTTTCGCTTAATCTTTCTGGGTTGGTATGATTTTGCTTGTATATGTGTTGGGTATGATGGGTTTGTGATTAGTACTGTATCTGAGTCTGCTGCTATGTCATATTGATTCACTGATTTTGGCTCTGATTTTCTCAGTGTGCTTATTAGATGATATTTATGGTGCAATAATCTTCAAATTCAGAATCTATTTTTACCATAATTTGAAGGGGTTGTAGTCTTCTGCAATTTCATGGGTCTCCGTGGCTTTGTGAATTATTTCAAATTGTGATTTGGTTTGCCTACTCATGCAGTGCTCTTTGTTTTGCAACAGCTAAAAAAATCACATTTTTTTCTTAACTTTTTGTTTATCTTTAACAAATTATTTTTTATTTTTTGTAAAAAATTATGCTCTTCAGGTAGTTCTAGTGTACAAGGATCTAAAAAGTGAAATAAAATTTTAAACTTCCATATAAGTTTTTAAATTTTGAATTGTATTTTGAAATTTTTTAGATTTATTTTTTTAATATTTAAAAATGTTAAAAAAAAATTTGTTTTTTATTTTAATTTTCAAATCTGTCTAATCTAGTAGGACTTAAAAAGTGAAAAGTTTTTTTGATTTTTTTAAAGTTAACTAAAGATGAAAAAAAAAAATTAAATAAAAAAAACCAACAAAAATGCTGCCAAAAATGCACTTGCCAAACTCTGTCCTTTGTTTTGACTTAATTTGTTATACCATTGTGAAAATTTAGAATATGAAACGTATTCTACATTGTAAAAATCATTGTGAATTACATAAAGTAGTCCTTAATTTAATTTAAGAATGTAGCATTACTCTAGAATCTTCATATTCTCTTTGAGAATTTAACATTGTTTTTGAAATATCCTGGATAATGATGTATATTTGAGCCTTGGGGTGTTATTTCATTATGTGGGCTATATAAAAAGATAATAATTTTGGGATATTATTTAGGATAGTATTAGTTTGTAATATTTACAGCCCTTGTTTCATTAAAAAAATCATGTGTTTTTCATTTTTTTCCCCCCTAGTTATATTATGTGTTAAGAAGTGATGTTGTTGTTATTTTATGTTTTCTATTTTCTTTTTCCAGAAAACACCAGCATACTTTTTTTATACATATAGTCATTGCTTTATTTCCAAAAACACGAAAAACGAAAACGACGAAAATGAAAACAGAACCAAACACCTATGGCGGATTGAGTTGTTGGAGTTCGAAGTTCTTATAGAAATCTTTGTGTGTAGCTGCAGCACTGAGACATCCAACAGTAGTCATGAAAATTGGGGCATACCACAATAGAAACCCTATGATATCTGACCCTAACACCGAGGGATCCGTTCCCCATTTTGCCTGGAATTATCCTGGAAATATCTTTTCTGCAACAAAGATTGGCTTAAATCCCTTTCAAGCAAGTCCAATGGATCCAAAGCCAGATCTTTTTACTGCTATTAGCCTCCACTCTTTTGCCCCAATGACTGAACCGGCAAAGAATGATACCGAGTCTGAGACTAAACCAACCAAGGTTAAAAAAAAGAAGTCCGCAGCAAAAAGTTCAGATCAAAATGCACCTAAGGTATCAAGAACCCAAAAGAAATCTTCTGCTTCAAAAAAGACTAAGAAACAATTTGAGCCAGGAACGAAGATTGAGAGGAAGGATCCTAACATGGTTTTCAACGAAGCCAGGTTGGATTTTTCAGTGGTTCCTCCACCGTATTGTTCTTGTACCGGTGTTGCTAGAAGTTGCTATAAATGGGGTACTGGAGGATGGCAATCCTCATGTTGCAACACGAACATATCTGAATATCCACTCCCCATGAGTCCCTCAAAGCCTGGGGCTCGCGTGCCTGGGAGGAAAATGAGCATTGGTGCATATGGGAAACTTCTGTGTAGACTCGCAGCTGAGGGTCTGGACCTTTCTCATCCGGTTGACCTCAAGGACCATTGGGCTAGGCACGGTACGAATAAGTTTGTCACGATTAAGACAATTAAGTGAAGATCTGAAAAGGTCACGGCTAGGTATATGTTGGCTTGTTCATGTAAATCATTTGTCTTTCCTCTTAGATGTAGTTTCTGCTGTATGTATATTTAGGGCACATGGGAACACCTTTTTGGGAGCATACTTATCCCTAATAGTAGTATCTTCTCCTTTCTTGCTTTTAAGCTTCCAAGTGAGTATGTTTTTGAGCTCATGATCAGTTATTTTTCGTATTTCCCTTGCGAATATACTAAATGTTGCCAAGTAATCTTATAGAATTATGAACACATTTAGTCACATTGGTTTTGATTTTTGAATATGATTAGCGGTTTCATGTTTGTAGCATAAGGTTTTCCTAATTGAACCAAACCGAACTGTGCACACCCCTATCTTCTCAACTCAATTTTATTTCTTTTTTTGCTTCTATATATTACAAATCTCCACAAAGTTCCAATTATAAATATACAAATGGAGTGTTTCTCATTCTTATGAGTATATCCTAACACTCAACTAGAAACATCAGACGGAGGGGAATCTGAAGGAAAATGCTGATTGGGGAGAGGGATAATTTGAGATGAGTGTGGTGCCTTGGCTTAATATATAAGACTCTCTTTAGGCTTTTGTGGCTTCCAATGGAGCTGCAGCCCGATTGGCTACGATTTGCTCGTACAGGTCTCTGATCTTCAAGCCGACTATGGTTTGGAAGAGACCAGTTCCATTGCTGCTGCCGGGAAAATCGGAGTGCTTCAACATTTGTTGGGTAATTTCACCATAGAACTTGGTAGAGATGTTACTGAGATGGCTCTCAACATAAATGAGTTCATCTAATCTGTCAAATTGACCATCCATCTCCAGGACAGAGACCTAAGAGAAACAAATGAAACAAAGAAAGACTATAAACATCACATTAAATGAAACAAATGAATGGTATGGATGTAGTATAAAATAGCACAATGTTATTTTAGCGTAGCATATACTGCTAAAGTGAGTGTTTTTATGTTACAGTATGCTATTTTAATACTACTACACCTAAATACTAAATACCACACTAGAGATGCTCATGTTCTAAGTTGAGGTTATATAGTGGATGATAGGGGAAAAACTATGTTCCCTGAAAATGAAGTGCATTGTGTGGATTCAAACTTCTTATGGTGTTGGTCACCTTCAAAATAAATCTAATTCACACGTCATTTTTAGGTTAAATTTCATAATACTTCTGTATACCTAGTTTGTTGGATGACTAAGATGCTATTGAAATGTGTCCCACATCGCTTGGGGTTGCCCCATCGGTGCTAGTTATAAGACTCTAGTTTTCCTCTTCTTAATACCTGGGTTTTAAGAAGAAGTATGGCCTGGACTTTTTAATTAATGCATGGTGTGAGTTTTTGAAGCTTGAGATAGGATTGTAAAACACACTAAGCAACTCGAGCTTAACACATTTAAAGCTTGTAAGTTTTCAAGTCAAACTTGTCAAACTCGAACAAGCTTCAACTTGCTTAACTTGATTGTACGTACTATGAAAAATCAAGCTACTTGAGCTTGACTCGATTAAAGCTTTGCTCAAGATCAGCTCAAAAACTAAATAAGTTAAATTTGAACACATTTTGAAATTTATTAAGTTTTCAAGCCAAATTGAAACTACTTATTACTCGGCTCATTTACAGGCCTAGGTTGAGATTGCATACCTCATGACCAAAGTAAGCGTCGGGACCATAGGAAAACTTGATGCCAGGGTAGGAGCAAGTGAGTTTCCTCCCACAGGGTATCCATGAGATGGTGGAGCCTTCGTCAAAAAGGTAGACTGGGCTGAAAAACTTCACACCTTCTTTCATTATCAACCTCACTCTCAAAACCTTCCCTTCATTATCATCTGGAATGAGTTGGGTTGGCAACACTTCTATCACTGCATCTGCATATTGCTTCTGTGGATCTACACCATAAAGAAAGCAGACACGAAGAACATGTGCATGAGAGAGAGAGAGTCTACTGTGTAACAGGAAAACATGTATACTCATCTACTTGCCAATGTAGGCATCAAAATCTGGCTTTCGGGCTTCGATACTTGCTTTGATGCTCTCAAGACTGTGTCCTCTCTCAGCCATGTCCCTCTGCATTCTTCAAACACAAAATTAGATCACAATAATTGAAGGACACACCATAGTCAATTACTTTCCAAAAAATGTCTTAGCATTGGATTCACCAATGCTAGGAATATAGAAATAAAACACAAAACAAATTCATTTTGATTAGAAAGGGCGGCATTCACCTGAATTTTCCAGGCGAATTTAACCTCGTTGCTGATGTCCAAGTAGATGCTAAAGTCCAAGAGGTCCCTTACACGTTCGTCATACCTACACGTATATGCAAAATTTTTATTTCTTGTTAAACCGGCTTAGGATATCTTGATTATATCACCTCCATCACCAAAATAATAATGCTATAAATCTAAAAAAATTATAAAAAAGTTTTCGAACTGCAATATGACAACACTGCATTCATCCTAATAAAGTGTGAGTCTCGTCCAAAGTTAATTGAATGCTACTAGCCCTTCCATCAACCATAAGAACCATCCCCAAACCTATTTCTTGGAGGGTTTTTATTTATTTATTTTAAGTGTTCCTTTTTCCTTTTTGTCTTTTTTAATCGAGCCTCTAAATTTACCCTACCATGTGAAAGCAGGCCATCAGATAGGCTAGGCCCTTATGGTGTCCTATTGGCTTCCAAATCACCATGAACTGGAAATTGTATTTTATATATCAAAATATTATCCTCTAAAAGACAGTACCTCAAAAAAATATTTAAAATTTTTAATATGGGGATCAAATTTATTTTAAATGTAACTTATATTACACTTTAAGGTATCGTTTGGGAACAGGTTATTCTAATAATTTTTTAATTTTTTGGCCAAATATGGGATAAAAAAAAATTAGTATATTTGGAATGACTTTTTAATTTTTTACGAAAAGATGTGTAAAAAGTAGAGCAAAAATGAAATCTTTGACTTTTTGATATATGTTATAGATTTTTTTAGTAATTTTTTTACTTTTAAACTTAAAGTGTTGCATGCCAAACGAAACCTAAGTCTACATTTTAGTAATTTTTTGAGAACAAATTATTTTACTAAGTTTTTATGAAAAGATATGTTAAAAAATAGAGAGAGTAATGTAATAATTTATAATAATTTTTTAATTAAAATATGTAATCACCAAACCAGACTGCTCAAGATAGTCTTTTAATAAACATAACTTTTTTCTTTGGCCTCTTTTTGGCAAAAGATTAAGGAGTTATTTGGGATGTCCTAAAAAAGTGTACTTTTTGACTTTTTATGAAAAATAAGTTGAGTATGAAGTGATGTGGTAGCGAGGTGATGTGACTTAAATAGGATGATGTAACTTAAATAAGATAGTAACTTTTTGACTTTTTAACTTTTTTTGAAGATGTCCAATCAAATCTAAAAGTCAATTTTAACCTTTTTTTAGATCACATTATTTCTCTATATTTTTACATATTTTTTCAAACAAATAAAAAGCCAAAAACTTATATTTTAATCTACTGTCCAAAACAACCCTTTATATTGGGTTCGTAGGGACCCACCACGGGTCCCGTTTTGATAATCTGAACCGTTCAATGTGTAGAACTTATCGAGTACTATATGTCTGTAAAAAATCACGTTGATCGGATATCGATAGCTATGTGAACAAAACAATTTTTTATCAACCGTCAATTTTTTCACCGTCCATTTTTTTTATACAAAACTGATTTGATCACATAGCTATCGATATCCAATCAACGTGATTTTATATAGGCATGTAGTACTCGACGAGTTCTACACATTGAACGGTTCAGATTTTCAAAACGGGACCCGTAGTGGACCCCCACGAGTCCAACAATACGATCCAGTCTGATCCCGAACTGAACAGAAGCTGAACCCTAAAAAAGTTACGATGACATAATATTGATTGAGAAGGTAAGTGACATGGCGTGCTGCTATTCGCTGAAACAAAAAAAATAAAAAATAAAATTTTTTTTTTGGGGCCAATCAGGGTCTACACGCACGACCCACAGTGACCCCCACTGGGGGGTCTTAGGCATTTTTCATATAAATAATGCAGGTATATATAATATCAACCGTGCTAAAGGCCTCGAAAGGGGGGTGCGAATTTGCCTCGAAAAGATGTTTTGTTTTGTTTTTTTTTTGGTTTTGTTTTATGTTGGTTTGGTTTTGTTTTGTTTTGTTTTAAAGGGTTTTTATGTGTATCCTAAAACTTAATAATAATAAAAAAATCAAACCAATACATCCCAACAAATAAAATAAAATTTTAAAAAAAACCAACATAGCTCAACAAATAGAAAAAAAAGAAAAAAAAAAACAGTTGGGTTAGACTGATTGAGTGATAAAATTGACTGATCAGTTAGACTGCTGGTTAAAATTTGTTAATTCCATATAATTTTGTACAAGTCTTTACTATATTTTTATTTCAAATCAGAAAGACTCGGAAGAAATAAAAACTTAAATCTTAAATCCTAAACTCTAAACCCACCCCTACACATAATCATCCTAAAAAATAAAAATAAAAAATTACAACAGCCCAACAAATAAATAAATAAATAAAAACAACCAAACTAACACAACCCAACTCATATAGTTTTGTACGAGTCTTTACTTTATTTTTATTTCAAATTAGAAAGACTCGGATAAAATAAAAACCTAAATCTTAAATCCTAACACAACCCAACAAATAAATAAAAAAATAATAATAAAAACAACCAAATCAACACAGTTAAAAAAATTACAATAGCTTAACAAATAAATAAATAAATAAAAACAATCAAACTAACACAACCCAACAAATAAATAAAAATAAAAATAAAAACAACCAAACCAACACAGTTTCAAAAAAAAAAAAAAAAAAAACTTTTTCGAGCCACGCTCGAGGCCTCAAATTCGAGGCCTCAATCTTTTTCCATATAATGGCCCTGTTTGGTAGAGCTTATTTCTAGCTTATTTCAGCTTTTAGCTTAATTTAAGTTATTTTGATGTGTTTGGTTCAGCTTAATAATACAGCTTATAGCTTTTTGTAAGTCAAAAATCAACTTAATCTTTGAGTGGGGGAGGCAAAGCTTAATTTATAAGTCAAAAATCAGCTTATATTCACAGTTATAAGCTATAAGGTGTTAGACTATAAGTTATAATCACTTTCCCACAGCTCTACCAAACGGGCCAATATATTGAAGCGTCCAAAAGTCTACTCTTGAGAAGGTACATAATACATACATATATATATATATATATATATAATTCTTACAAAATATACAAATAGCCTCAGAAAATTTGAAAATAAATTTGAGCCCAAAGCATGACAAAAGGCCCAAGAAGAAAAAAAAAGTCAGGACAAGACAATCGAATTTCCTCAGCCATACGATAGTAGGTTAATATCTTCCTATCCTCACAAAATTGTTTAGACTTTTATTAATCCCTGCACTAGCAAGGCACAAAAGCTTAATAATATAAATTATAATGAATAAATAAAAAATCAACGAAGTAACTAAATAATTTTATAGAATTTGTTATCCATTGCTATAAGTTCAAACAATTCTTAGAGAATATTATATAGCCACACATTTGATAAGAATTTCTTTTAAAAACCATAGTTGCTACACTATCCATCAATAAGAAAACTCAGTTCATTGAATTTGTTTTAGAAAAATAGATGAATATTTAATGAAAAATGTCTGTAAAAAATCACGTTGATCGGATATCGATAGCTAGTTCAAGTAACGGATTCTAACCAATTGAAAGGATCTTCTGATCAATCAGAGATCATTTTGAATTCCATTAGTAATGAGGGTTCGGAATATCAGAATCAGAGAGATTCACAGCTAAAAGAAAGAAAGAATTCTTTGGGTCCCCACTTTCAATAAACAGAATGAACAGAGATAGAATTTTTAAAAGATGAAATCAAAGAAGAGAAAGGGAATTTCAGGACATAAGAAACTCACATTGGGTGCAACCCTTCAATGACAAGGATCTTAGGAGGCTTGATGAGCTCAGGAGGGTCAAGAAGACCAGTGACATGATTATAAATAGGCTTATCAACAGCAACACCATCCTTGATAGCCTTAACTTGCTCATACATGAGATCAAAGTCATTGGCTCTAGGGTCCAGTGCAGTGACCCCCTTCTCTTTCCTACCAGTCCTATCAAGTGAGTGATAATCATCCAAACAAATCACAGTGGTCATGTCACTGAGGAGTGTGTTGGAGTCTGGATTCCCACCCTTTGGTGGCTCAGCAGCCCCTCCAAACACATTTGTCATCCTCCTCATGAAGGTGCTCTTCCCACAACCTGAGTCAGCTGCCAAACCTATCACCACTGTCTTTTCCTGAGCTGAGCATGTTATGGTGGTGCTTGTACTCTCTCTCCTGCTGTTTTGCTTGCTTGTTCTGTAGAAAACTATCTGTTTCTGGTGAAATCCCAAGTGGGTTTTTGTGGGTGCTGAGACTGAGCAAGTGGAGTAGAGGGATTGGATGCAGGCTGCCATTTTCTCTCTCTTAGTTTGAGATGGTTTGGAGAGAGATAGAGAGAGAGAGGACCTTAGCTAGTTTTGGGAGGTGACATGAAATGGGTTTTGGTTAGTTTTTTCGAAGGAGAAGGTTGAGAACAGAAAAATGAAGAAGAGGGGGTATGTGGTTAGAGAAACAGATTGGCAGTTTTGAAGGATAGGAAAGAGTTTGATTTGATGAAGGAAGGCTGATGTGGCAATATGGGTTTCTGTGACTACCCCTTGCTTTGGACAAATTTGTAGGTGATTTTAAGGTGGGAGGGAGAGGGACATGGCTGGGTGTAAATCAGTGGGCTAGGGGTACAATTGTCGACTTCTTTAAAACAAAATATGTTATCTTTTTTATTGTGGGGGAAAAAAGGGGGGGATGTAATTGTTGATGAGGTGATGGTGTTTGTGATAAACATAGGTATGGAGAAGCTTGGTGGTGATTTGTTGCAGCTTGGATATTTGGCATGCCACTTGGCAGCAATAGAGTGGGTAATTGAAGATGAGGGAGGAAGGGTGTGGAGTGGAGGAGGAAGGAGGCATGGTCCTTATGTCAGCCAATTCAACTTTGGACACTATTTTGAACGATTTTGAGTGAGGTCTAACCTCAATATCATATCATTAAGGATTATTTAGGGATGATAAATTAGGAGATACACCATTGTTGTTAAATCAATGAGTTCTATAATATGTTCAAACTTTGTTTGTTTGTCGTTGGAGTAGATCTGAAACAAATTTTAATTAGATTAAGATTTATTTATTTGTATATTGCATACAATAGAGTTCAGCCAAATATATAACTATTCAAATTTGATTTAAAATTTTAACAAAGTTCAGAATATGTTTAAATTTAATGAATCAATTTAAAATGAACTAATCAAATTGAAGTAATTTTGGTTCATTTCACAACCCTATCCAAAAGTGATGGACAAGAAATGGAACATAAGAGACTACAAATTAAAGTATCATTTTTGACTTTTTACAAAAAGATTGTGTAAAAAAAATAGAAATAATATCACCCAAATAAGTACACTTATCTAAATAAATGCATTTATATAGGTTATGCCAAATAGGACCTAAGTATTGCTTTTCCTTTTTAATTTTAATATTTTATTATTATTATTTGATAGAGCAAATTAAAGAGGTGCTCAGAAAACCAAACAGCCGTTAAAACAGCTCATGAACCTGGTTTTCATGTTAGTTGTTAGATACCCAACTAGGAAAAGTCAAATTTCCAAAACCACCAATGTTTATAAAATGTAGTAGTAAGCCAGTACATGGTATTGAAAAGTGATCAAATTTTATAGTAGTGTTCAGTTCAAATCAATATTATATAGAACGCTGTCAACCACATTCTTATAAACAAAAATATGCCCCTAAATGCCACATTGTTATTTATGCCAAACCAATATATAAGTTAATCTGTCACATTCAACCAAAAGACAAGTATTTTAAACTTGCAAAAGAGTCTAGGCACTTCCAGTTCCAAAAGACAAGTATTTGAAACTTGCAAAAGAGTCTAGGCACTTCCAGTTCCAAAAGACAAGTATTTTAAACTTGCAAAAGAGTCTAGGCACTTCCAGTTGTAGGCAGTCAACAGAATTGCATTGTAATTAGTTAGCAGCTGCTAGGGCATGGATGGCATTGTAGAGGATCATTTATGTTTTCGTGTTTTCAGAAACACAAATAATGAAGAAAAAAAAAATGCATCTTGTGTTCATATAATTTAAATGGACAACTTGTCACCATCATTGTTTCAAATGAATTGTTTCCGAGTATATTCAGATTCGATCCAACCTGGCCCGGAAATTTAACCGGATATTAGATGCTGATAGGGCTGACAGAATGAAATTGCCAAAAAACCTTGTGTGATATGATGAATCCTCGGGATACAGGATGATTGGACGATCAATTGTGGTCTACTCAAAACCATTAATATGTATTGAAAGAAAGCAGCAGCTATAGTAGCCAAGCATGATCCGATCACTAAAACATGAGAAGTAAGAACATACAAGGTTCTTCAATGGCTGGAAAAAGGGAGAGAATAACCTATAGAATATAGAACCAACAAAGTACATTTGGTACCTGAAACAGAATGCCATTCCAGCTTTCCAGAATTGAGGCCAATGGGTAATTTTTTGGTGATGCTGTCTTAATATTGTGGTGTCTAGCATGGCTTTCTTTGATCAGTAATCGGCCTTTGTTTTAGACACAAAAGGCACAGGGAATGGGATAAAAAACATGTGGGGCCCACATGTTTTCCCTTGCCTCCTAGTCCCATTCTTTCCCACATTTAGTTGGCTGGATATAGGGTATTGGATGTCCTGATAGACATGCAATCCCACAAAATCATAATATAACTAATACCAGCCCCTAGTACAGATGTATAACTAATATCCCCTCTGCTCTGGATTATCTCCCTTTCTTCATCCAAAGGAAAAAATAATGTACCAAATCTTATCTCAGTCTTTATTCCACTACAATGAAACATAATACAATAATTCCATGAATATATAACAAATCCACTGAATGTCATATGGTATACCCAAAAAATAACATTTGGGACCGACATTATTAATCGGCCCCCTCATCCCCCTAATTCCATCCCAACAAACAAACATGGACAAGGAGTTAAGAATTGTTGTTATTCTTTCAATAATTCTAACAATCTAAACCTAGATTAGTGACTGAGGTGCGAAAAGAATCAAAGAAAATAGAATCTAAAGTAATTTCTTTGGGAATTGCAGAAGTCTCAAATGAATATTTTCAGCTGACATGTTATAGGTCTACGATCCAAGTATTTTAAACTTGCAAAAGAGTCTAGGCACTTCCAGTTCCAAAAGACAAGTATTTTTAACTTGCAAAAGAGTCTAGGCACTTCCAGTTGTAGGCGGTCAACAGAATTGCATTGTAATTAGTTAGCAGATGCTAGGGCATGGATGGCATTGTAGAGGATCATTTATGTTTTCGTGTTTTCAGAAACACAAATAATGAAGAAGAAAAAAATGCATGTTGTGTTCATATAATTTAAATGGACAACTTGTCACCGTCATTGTTTCAAATGAATTGTTTCCGAGTATATTCAGATTCGATCCAACCTGGCCCGGAAATTTAACCGGATATTAGATGCTGTTAGGGCTGACAGAATGAAATTGCAAAAAAACCTTGTTTGATATGATGAAGGCTCGGGATACAGGATGATTGGACGATCAATTGTGGTCTACTCAAAACCATAAATATGTATTGAAAGAAAGCAGCAGCTATAGTAGCCAAGCATGATCCGATCACTAAAACATGAGAAGTAAGAACATACAAGGTTCTTCAATGGCTGGAAAAAGGGAGAGAATAACCTATAGAATATAGAACACCCCCCCCCCCCCCCCCAAAAAAAAAAAAAAAAAAAACAACATATTGCATGTATGTCAACCAGTCTCTCAAAACTCAAATCAACTATTTCACTGATGAAAAGGGAGGGAAGGAAGAATATACTGAGGAGCTCGACAAAACAGTAACACAAAACATCCGAATGGAAACCACAACCCAGATTCGTGCATCACTTGTTACCTCGGAAGTACATATAGATTTTCTGCACAACAAAAGAACCAACCATAGAGAGTTGAAGTGATTAAACAAGAACAACAAATACATCTGAAGCACTTAAAAGTGGAAACATACATACATCAATCCATTCAGTATTTAATTTTACTATTTATGGTTAGACAAATTGTGCAGTCAAATGGATAGGAAAAAACGAATACAAGGAAAATAAACAACAACAATCGATAGAGAGAAGAATTGAGAGAAGAACCCAAAGAGCTGAGGTTTAAAAGTTTAAAAAAAAAAAAAATGAAAATCAGTTTCTTTGTTGCTAACCTGAAGTACCCACAAGCTTAAAAGTGTCTCCAAGCAAAACAAGGCAAATCCAATTAAGTAGAAAATCTGTAAGAAAACAAAGACATTAGCTGTACCCATAATGAAACAAGTTAATAATAATATAAAACAAAAACAAAAAGAACAAAAAACAAAAAACATGCATGACGTTAATTTCTCATACCATCTAAAGCATCCTAAACACAAAAATAAACAAAATCAAACTGATGCTTGGATATTAAGATACATGAATAAAGGAAGGCAAATTATTCAACTTACCCCCACCAACACATGATCAGAGAAGACTGATATTGCTGCAAGAATGCCCCTGAGGAAACAAGAGAGAAAAGATAATTACAAGATCAAAGTTAAGGATAAACTATGAAACCACAAAAACTAAAGCTGCAGAGATCAGTATGATTCTTATGAAATCCTCGTATAAAACTTGCCACTATATAAGCCCAACCAACGAAAAAGTTGTTCTCTAATGCGGAGTCAATGTAGAAGGCATATAATATCTCAGGAGGAAAAAAAATGCACGATAATTCTCTCCCTAGGGGCTAGTGAAAAAAGCAAGAATGCCACATCTCAATTGATGAACCGCATAAGTCGGCTTCAAAGCTCGACCACCATCTCTGAAGTCTGAAGTACCATGCCACTTTGTTAAAGAACCCAAAATCACTGAAGATTCAAGTGTCAAGGGAGGAGGAACAATTTATGCCAATTGAGTCTTGGCCCTTATCACATTAGGGGGGACCCTGAAGTACGTTAAGCACAATGTACAATGGAAAAGGTCAAAAGCACTTTAATGTGGTAAAAAAGCAATAAATATTACTATGCTAGAAACTTCCTATATTGGATCACGCTCAAGCATAGAACCTTGACTCTTTAACCTTCAATAAAGGTGGTTCTCCAAAATGTCCGGTGAGTTTGCAATTCTATGAACCCCACACTACCTTTTTTTTTTTTTGAACAAACCCCGCACTACCTTGACAAATCCAAAACCTTAAGATTATTACATATTATTTTAGCTAAAATTTAGTTCATGATGCAAGGGATGAAGAAATATATGATTTTAAATATACCAAAGTTGGAACTAGAATATAATTACTTTATTCTTTTAGAAATTTAACATATAGGGACCATCAGATAGCTATCTCATCCATCAAATTCTTTGTTTATTAAAACAACAAATACACCATGATGTGATAACCTGTTAAGCATGAATCATTAAAGAGTCAAGAAGAAAAACAGAAACAGTCCTATAGATAATGTGAAATATTATGCAGGAAACAATGCCACTATTGCCTGCTAAAACCCCCAACAAAAATCTCATAATAGATTCATAGGACCACTAAACAAGAGAATACAATGTTGATTGTCCGCCTCATCAAAAATAAGTTCCTTAAGCTAAAACACACACAAAAAAGAAGAAGAAGAAGAGTGAGATTCAAAATTAATAAGAACTTACGTCAATGACTCTCCATGAAAGACGATAGGAGGAGCAATAGCAGCAAATATGCAAAAACAAATGTGAAGCTGCAAATTCCAGTACCATTAAAAACAAGGAAACATAAGACAGTAACTACAAGAAGAAGCAGGAAATGTCACAGTGCATGAACCATACTCACCAAGTAGAACAGGAAAAACCAACCAAACTTCAATGCACTGTCTGTCCTGCGATTTGGAAGCAAAGTGTTAGAATTTACCTACACCTACCACCACCTACTACCACACCTACTACACCTACCACCAATTTACCCTCACCTACTCCTCACCTACTACCCAAACCCTCTCCTATATAATGAGCTACTCTGATTTGTAATATAATATATCAAACAATCTTGTAAGAATCAATACATCAATCAATAATACATCAGTTTTTCTTACATGGTATCAGAGCAGGTTTAGAACCTAATATTTTCGCTTCCCCGGCGGGCGGCAACCTCACCTTAGCCGCCTGCCGGACCTCAACCTAGTCCGCTCGAATTTTCACACATACCTTGAAATTTTCTTTCTTCAACCTGCTTATGTTCGTCTTCTTGAGGGTGATCCGTTAAAAGTTGATCAGTCTGCCCTTACCGGAGAGTCACTTCCAGTGACCAAAAATCCTTATGATGAAGTTTTCTCTGCTTCAACTTGCAAACAAGGCGAGATTGAAGCTGTGGTTATTGCTACTGGCGTTCATACCTTCTTTGGAAAGGCTGCACATCTTGTGGATAGCACAAACCAAGTTGGGCACTTCCAACAAGTGCTTACTGCAATCGGGAACTTCTGCTGCTGCCGCCCTTATGGCTGGTCTTGCGACCAAAACTAAGGTTCTTAGGGATGGTCGATGGAGTGAGCAGGATGCTTCAATTTTAGTTCCGGGAGACATAATCAGTATCAAATTAGGAGATATCATCCCTGCCTTCTCTCCTCTCTGCCTCCAACGTTCCCTCATCTCCACCAAACAAAGTGGATCTGACACTCCACTCTCACCCACGGCACTCACAACGCACCATTTTTTGAAGAAGTATTACATTGCCGACATGACCCACGTGGTCTAACTTTTTCCTTTTTTTTCTTATTATTATTATTCTTATTATATCCAATAATCACTCCACTCACCTTTGCATTTTCATTCTCACGCCAAGCACGTGGGCCTGTGAACCTCACCTTTATTTTGCCACATCCATCTTCCCCACATCATTTCTTTTTGCTGGGTGTTACCCCCACTTTCTTTTGACACATAGTTTTTTATTTTATTATTATTTATTTTATATTCCACCAAAAAAAAAAAAAAAAAAAATCATTCCTTAAACTAAAACACACAAAAAAGAAGAAGAAGAAGAGTGAGATTTAAAATTAATAAGAACTTACGTCAATGACTCTCCATGAAAGATGATAGGAGGAGCAATAGCAGCAAATATGCAAAAACAAATGTGGAGCTGCAAATTCCAGTACCATTAAAAACAAGGAAACATAAGACAAGAAGAAGCAGGAAATGTCACAGTGCATGAACCATACTCACCAAGTAGAACAGGAAAAACCAACCAAACTTCAATGCACTGTCCGTCCTGCGATTTGGAAGCAAAGATAATCACATGCTACAATTACCAGCACTCTTTTCAGAACTTTCAAGCTATGACCACAAATTCTTTCCAATTCAGATATTTAAAATTCATTCAATAAGTTAAACAGCATATATGCTTTTGATATCAACGGTTTAAAAGGTGTTATTGAGGCTTGCCTTGAGACAAAGGCTAACCCAAAATGCATTGAGGCTTTGATTTTTAGGTGGGAATCTCCAAAGGCTAGCACATCACAGTATGAGGTGTGCACGATGACTTTTGTGTATAAGCAAATGAGGATTATGCAAATAGAGAGCATAACTTGCTAAACTTAGTCTGATACATAGTTTAAACATTAAATATATATATATATATTAAAAAAGAGCCTCTTTTGTAATAATATTACCTGGGAAAAAACAAAGAAATAACCAATCAAGAAAAACACAAAGTTAAGGATCAAGTGGAAAGCTTGATAATTTAGGTTAATAATGTTGATTTCACATTTGATGAGGGCAATCTTCCTTCCCTACTGTGAAATTTTTTATGCCTTGAAAAGAAAAGTATTTACACCTTTATATTTACTATTTAAAATATTTTATTTTATTTATTAAATAAAATTTTAAAATTTTCTATGCTTTTACAGTACAGATCTGCAGCAAAACAACAAAATTTTCAATGAAAATACTTCGATTATATTCATTCTATTGTCTTCCCTTATTGCAAAGGCATTGTCAAAAATAATTATTTGCATAAACATAAGTACAAAGTTTGTGCCTCAACTTATCAATACACCAAAAGATTGTTTCCTCTTATACAGTAAAGTTTATTGGTGGTCATATAAGAGACCTAGGATTGAATCCTGCCAGGTTGAAGGGATTATGGGGCATGGGGAGGCCTACTGACGTCCCTCCCCCACTGGAAAAAAGTGTACATGAATTTTGAAAATTCCCACAGACGGCAAGGGATGAAATTGGGAAATGAAAAGCCAAAACAAGAACAGCTGAATACCTCATTGCACGGTAAAGTGGCCTATACCATAGGACATATGAAAGAGGGCATCCAAGTAGAGCATAGATTATTGCCAGGAAAAATATTTTTACACCTGGAAATAGTGATACCAAACATAACGTTCTGAAAATGTATGATTTTTCATCATCCGTGGATGCAAGTGCTTTGATTTGCTGCTCGTACATTAGCATTTCCGCGTATGCATCAATTACCTACGTGCACAAATAAAACATCTATGATTTTGCTTCCCTCGTATATATTTACGTAAATTGCGTACGTATGTTCAGAAGCTTCAGATGTTTCAAGAATAATTAGGGATACCATACTTACATTGCCTTGTAACGTCAGCCCCTTAACGATTGCCCGTATGTCATTGAAACACAAATAATTGGAACCATTCTGCCCAGTCCAGACTTGCACACCAACAATTAAACAAGACAATGTTGAACACTAAATTCATGTACAAATGCAAAACGGTAATAGAAAGTTTGGGAACCTACCTATCCCTGCTAGGCCTGTTCAAAAATCCGTTCAAACCGGTAATCCGGACCGAACCAAACCGAATCGTACGGTTTGGTTCGGTTCTATTAAGAATTGGTTCGGTTTCGGATTAAGAAATATGAAAACTGTAAAAACGGTTCGGTTAATGGATTTTATGAAAAAACCCGCGGTTCAAACCGAACCGAATTTTAAAAGATATATATATATATAATATCAAGTTTTATTTTTATTAATTGGTTTTTTATAATTTTAATGATATTAGGATGGTATAGATATGTAACATTAAGTAATGCCTTAATATTATTAGTTTTTATCATAAGTTAAATGTAATTGGTTTGAGTAATTATTTTGTTAATATTAACAATTTATTCTTGTAAATAGAAATTTTTGGAACCGTAAACCAAACCGAAACCGAACCGTTTTTTCGGTTTGGTTCTGGTCCGATTTTACAAGTGTAACGGTCTAGTCTGGTTCTCAAAATCACAGAACCGTTAGAATCGGTTCGGTTCTTGGATTTTCTCAGAACCGAACCAATCTGGACCGTGTACACCCCTAGGAATAAGCAGAGTAAAAAGTCACTTTAGTTGTCATGAAACTATCCTCTATATTTAAACTCAACTAAAACATATAAATCATGCTGGACGATCAGCACTTCATTGATATTCAGGCAGTCAATGAAGTAAAAAAACAGTAATTTGATCATGAGTATTCATATATCAAAAACTCATCTATGAAAAATGAACAGGAGATGAGGATTAATTTTTGCTTTATTTTATTATTTCATTCATTTGGCAGCCCAGAGGCAGGGAGGGGGTGTTTCTTAAAGAAAGCAACTAGCTAAGACAGCAGTATTGCCAGAATATGGTGATCAAACTCAGAAGTCAACACATAGGAGGAATAAGGAAAATGCTCCAATCAGAAAAATGAAGCCATCCATACCTAACCAACTTGCAAAAGCCAAATACTGCAACTTCTGAGCATGAACAGGAATTTCATTGCCTATATCATGATGAATAATTGGGAAACATGGAGGCCAGTTTTTATCATCTGACGGGACACCAGCTGAAAATGCAATATTAGAAGAAATAAATTAGAAAAATATCATTATCCAGGAAAAGCATATAAAACTATTCTCAAAGCAATATATACATATTGGCCTTCATCTCATGGCTTACCACTGGAAACAGTATCTTCCCTTCGTTTAATTTCCTGAAAAATATAGCATGCATCAGTACTATTGAAAACAAGTATATAAATATCTTAAAAAGTGTACACAATCAATATATATATTGAGATAATGCCAACATCTAAAGAAGTCATCATCAAATCATGAAGAACTCTGGTTGTTATTTTGAAGGCAGTCAAATAAGTAATTTACAAATAAGAAAATACAAACAGATTTATGAGGTACATTTGCAAGTATATTCTCAATAATAAAATGCAAAACTAACACGTTCTCTCCTTTTTAGATCTGCTTCCCAAGCTGCAAGTTCCTTCTCCTTTTTCTTAGGATCCTGCCATATCACACCACATGATATACAACTCAGTGCTCCCAATACTATGAAACAATATAAATTCAAACTGTAAATTGATTACATTCATTGAATCCAACGGTATATCAACAGTTGCATCATGTTTTTGGCCGAAACCCAATGTTTGAGCAACCATTTGAGGAATGCGTGACTTTGGAGCAGCACTGCCATTCTGCATACAAAGGACAATTTGGATGGCTTGATGATCAATATGAATAATGAAAACAGGCAAAAAAAATATATAAAAACACAAATCCAAAATTGCATGATGCAACTTGTAGTCATAAAAACAACGAGAATTAGAGTATATACATATATCAGCTTAGTAAATAATGCATCAACTGGTACTTGCAGTGGCAACAAAGAACTTAGTTTTGTACTGTTCATACAATAACTTAGTACATTTATCACTGTGAATTTAAAATAAATAAAAAAATACAATTCAACTAAATACACTTCCCACGTCATATTTCAATATAAACTAACACAAATAAACTAAAAATAAATCAAAACTCACAAACAAAAGACAAAATATCCTCAACATCTAAGAAGCATGGACACGGACACGTGACACGACACGAATACGACACGGACACGCCGACACGTTAATTTTAAAAAAATGCAGGACACGACACGTGGAGGACACGCATGAAATATATAATTTTATATATTTATTATATGTTATATATATGAATATATCATTCAAAGATAATAAAAAATGCAATATAGCACTATTTCCTATAAATTTATATGGTTTTTGTTTTATTATTGTATCTTAAGTTGTTTTGTTCAAACTTATAATTAGTTTTACATATTTATAATCAATAGACACATGTGTTTAAACAATTGACACGTGTGTCTTCCAAGTGTCCAAAGAGTATCCAGGTCTTTAAAAATATTTAAAAAATAGGACACGTTTTGAAGAGTATCGGACACGTGTCCTAAGAGTGTCCAAAGAGTGTCGGTGTCCGACACGGATACGACACGGATACGTCACCTTCTTAGAAGTGTCCGTGCTTCTTAGCTCAACATCTATCACTTTGATAAATTTCTCAGTATCACTACCAATACCAAATGATCATTCCACAAACACAAATCACATCAAAAAAGTCTTCAAATTTTCTCATTATCAAAATGATTGGCAAATACCTATCTACTACCATTTCACATCGTATTACCAAACCATGGTTCTCGCTACACTACTGTTTCCCGCTTCTAATTCCCTTTTGAGCAGATGTGTAGCAAACTTTAACACGTAATAATCTTATGATTGAGGTGCTCCACATAATCTCATACTGAATTTCTTATAATTATAATTTTAATTGCACCTTCCAAAAACGAGTGCATCTGAGCACACGCATAGGACACAAGTTTCACAGCAAATTTGCACCAACACCAAGATCATCTCATTTACACTGCTGTATACGTATTATACACAAAATTCATGTACAACAATTCGATGCGAAATTGAATCAATCAATCGCATATAAATGCAAAACATTCCTTTTCATTAGATCTACACACTACAAAGTCCAGAACCGACAAGCAAAACGAGCAACTCTATAATTTCAAAAGTCCGTAGTCAATTTCTCTATGAAAAAAATCAAATAGTCAACCACATTCTGACCACTGCGACCAGTCCCAAAATTTCAAAAGCTCTCTCTCAGATCTAGAACCACTAAACAAAACAAAATGCCAGTAAAACACAGCAAGTTCATCCAATCAACAATTTCAAAAACACAAAAAAAAAGAGGAAAAAAAAATCAACAAAAGCGATATTACAAAGCAATGAGGTGGCTAGATCTACAACGACGAGTACAGATGTGGATTTACCGAAAATGGATTGACTTGTTCTTCGTCAAAAGGATTTGGATCGTTCCGGCTATTCATGGCTTGTTGTTGTTGTTGTTGTTCTTGAGATCAAAGCAACAATTTAGCAGGAAAATGTTGTGGAGAGGGTTAGAATGAAAAAGTTGAAGAGAGAAAGTGTGTTTGGTTGAGTAGGGAAAGCATTTTTTCTACCTACTATACTACTACTATTTGCTTCACTTTCGAATCTGCTTGTGTGCAACGCCGACGCGGGATTTGCCGACTCCAATGAAAAATCGGGAGTTTTGTATTTGCCCCTTGTAGAGTGTTAAATTTGCAGGACATACCCGTCCAAACGGTGTGTATTATATACAGAAAAATGATATAATTTTATACCTTTTTAAATTATAATTCAAAAAAATATGTTAATTACCTAAATGTCCCAATAAAAATATTATAATCAAATATAACCCGAGACATAATTAAAAAATTTATAAATCATAATTAAAGAAAATAATTGTAACTCAAAAAAATAATCAGCTTGCTTGGTTGTGTTTTTTCAAAAACACTTTTTAGAAAATTATACTTTCTTATTTTCCGTATTTTTTTGTTTTTACTAAATTTTTTTAATATTTTAAGCAATTTTTTTTACTTTTTAGACATACCTAATATAAATATACTTAAAAAGTAAAAAAATTGTAAAAAAAAACTTTTTAAAAATTCACTAAATACAAAAATATAAAAAAAAAAAACCAGAATTAGTACATTTTTTATATTTTTATGTATTTATTAAAATTTTAAAATATTTTTTCATAAATTTTTTACTTTTTAGATACCTAGTGCCTCTAAAAAAGTAAAAATAATATTTAAAATTTTAAAAATATTCACTAAAAATAAAAAAATATGAAAATCCAAAAATTGAGTTTTCAAAAAATTTAATTCAAAAAATTCAAACCAAACACACTGATATAATTAGAGTTGCATATTGAACCCACCATTTTTACGAGTGTCTATGTCAATTTTTTTTTAAATTTATGAGTGACGTGCTTGGATAAAATAATTATAATATATACCCATTTAAAAATGATGGAAAATGAGTGGGAGTACTAATTAGTGCTCCCACTAATGATGTGGCAATAGGTCCCACCATGAATAATTTGATGTTTTGGTCTTGGTGTTATATTTTTTTTCTTTTTTTATTGAGTGACATGTGATTAGTGGTCTTTTTAGAGTTCTAAAACTAAGTGGTCTCTATCATTGTTGAAAAATGATATATCGTATCGACAATGCTAGGTAGCTCAAATTTTTGTGGCTCAAATGGCTCAAATCTGTGAAAACGACGTCGTTTTGACAGATTTTGAGTGTAAAACGACGTCGTTTTGACAGATTTGAGCCATTTGAGCCACAAAAATTTGAGCTACCAAACATTTTCCATATCCTATATATCTTTAGTTGTATTATAATATTATTTTAATTATATTTCATATTATATTTAATTATAATATATATTTTTTTAATTATAACTTAAAAAATTAAATAATATCATTTGTTTTTCTCGGTGGATGATGCTCACCCGTTAACGGGTGCACGATAGTGTTTCCCTCTGGCAAGGCGGTTGGGTTCGTGCAAAGGGGTTTTTATCATCTACGCACCAGGTTTTAACTTTTGAAGAGTTGGTTTGTCGAATGGAGTCCAGAGCCTCTCCTTGCAAGCTTGTGCTTGCGTCTGTCCTTGCAGGCCTTCGGGTCTACTTTTAGGCCTAATTTTGATAATTCGAACCGTTTATATTTTATGATTTATTCAGTATATCATACCTGTAAAAAATCAAGTTGATCGGATATCAGAAAGTATGTGTTTGAAAAATTGAACTAAACACTATTTTTTAAAGAATTTAATAAACAGTTTTCCGAACATATGCTTTCTGATATCCGATCAACTTGATTTTTTACAGGTATGATATACTGAATAAATCATAAAATATGAACGGTTCGGATTATCAAAATTGGGCCTAAAATAGACCCAAAGGCCTGCAAGGACAGGCGCAAGCACGGAAGCTGCAAGGAGAGGATCCTCACTCTGTCGAATGACCCACGCCAATGTGATTGTGAGGTGAGCAGTGTCTGTGGCAGTAATTGATTGGTGTTCAAGTTGTTGGGAGGTGTGGACTGCGACACATCGAATGAAACTTACTTCTTCCTTTGCTGCATGGCACGCATCATCATTTTGAATTCCGAATAATTATGAAAAATTATTTAATAATTTTGGAATAATACGTGATCATATTCCAAATTAATTATCAATTACTTAGCTTCATATTATTTTCTCATCCCAAACATAAAATCGTGAGTTTCTATTTGTTTCTATCAATCAAAACCTTATAGAATATCATGTGTTTTTATTTCGAAAATACTAAGAGTTGGTTTGGGATGTTCTAAAAAAGTGTACTTTTTGACTTATTGACTTATATGAGTTGGGTTTGGGTTGTGTTTGATGTGATGTGTTAGAGAGGTGATGTGATTTAAATGATATGATGTGACTTAAATAGGATAGTGACTTTTTGACTTTTTATATTATTTAGTCATGCCAAACTTGGCCTAAATAATCACCTAATAATGATAAACTTTTGTATGTCATATTTTTGGCATGTAATATTGTATAATGTTACATGCATCAATTAGTATATCTATATCTATACCATATATTAAGCAAAATGAGTCAAAAAAATCAAAAAATATACTTATTTAAAAGACACCAAACAATCCCAAAATAACAAAAGAAAACTAAAAAATTAAAAAACCAACCCACTCCAAAACGGAGGCTAAAGTAGTTTAAGATGTCAAAGATGTCAAAGTGTCAAAGTCTCTAAAAAAGTAAAAAAAAAATCTTTAAAGCTTATCTAAATAAACTTTAAATCAATAAAACTCACATGTCTATCACATATTTAACTCACATCATACCTTACCTAAATAATAATCATTAAAAACAAATGGAAACCACAGATAAATTAAATTTTAAAAAAAAGGATACCCACAACTCCATCTTAAATAAATTGAAAAAAAAAATATCCGAATAGAAACCACACAAAAATAAAAATAAAAATAAAAAGATATATATATCTATCTATCTATCTATATATATATTAAGAAAAATGGGATTTCTAATCCCCCAAGTCTTGTGGGAGCTCCAATATCCCAATCTAAATTTCCTGATTTTTTATTTTTTTAAAAAAAAACCTTAGTATTTATTAATTTCTCCCAACCCCCAAGTATAAAAAAAATTCTTTGAAAAGTCAAACACATACGAATTCCTTGAAAAGTCTCAACACATACAATTATTATCCAT